TGCTATTTTTCTAAAAGATTACAGGACAGGGCTTAAAGAAACATTTAGGCCAACAGTAGTCAACCAATGTTGTTGAGATAGCTTATGTAGTTAAATATACATATATGTTTTTTGGGGGGGAAAAAAGAGATGATCCAAGGAAGCAAGACAAAAACAGCAAGGAGAAGACCATATAAATACATTTTGCCCAAAGGAAATAAGGTAGAAAATAGGAGCAACTGAGATTTCTGCATAGCTCCCATCACACATTCTGCTGTTTTAATAGAACAATGTAGATTACAAAGATCATTACATACAACAATCTGCTTAACCTACCTGGAATTCAAATTCTACCCGAGGTCTACAGCATTAATGGAAGCTATATACTTTACATCCTCGTATTAAACCAATACTAAATACATCACTGAGATATATTTTCTCTAAAATTTGTGCGTTTTTCCCCATCACACCGACCACCTGCAGTTCTTATTATCCTGTAAGCCTCTTTATTCCAGTCAAATTCTGCAAAACCTCAACTCAGGGGTGAACAAATAGTGYAAGTCTGAATTAAACAAGAAGTTTTACTGTGCTCTAGAGCACTATATAGAGTGCAAACTGCAGAATAAAGCACACTACATCCAGAGTGCACATGGGGAAGTTTTACTCCTCCCTGCCTACAGAAAGCAGTTTGTGGTTATCATTAGACACACGTGCTGCAAGGGTTGTGATTCAGCTTCACTCCAACAGATCAGATTTCACCAGTTGCTTCATTTGAAAGCAGCMTGGCTTGGAGATGATTGAGGTTTTGTGTGGTAGCAGCAAAGGAAAGACAATTTAAATGCACAGGAAGCAAGGATAAGGAAGACCTTTCGCTTCCAGGGAAAATTATACTCGTCTCATACAGAAAATCATCTTCAAGACTGAAATCATCTTCATCTTCCTTTACAGAGGAAAGCAGCAATGGAAATACCTGCAAAGCCTCATACCAGTAATGGGCCCCTCAAATACCACGCAGAACTTCCAGGGCAGAAAATTTAGAACAGGGCTGTGACAAATCATGATTTTACTCTGTAATATAGAAAAGAGGTCCTTAGACTGCAGTCTTCTGTAATATTCTGCAACCTAAAGTGCTTTTATTATAAAGATTCTTTTGTTCTGTACTTCAACATCTGGTACAGTGTTCTTTATTCCACTGTGCTTTTGGAAAATATGCTGTGGTTGCTGACCATGTTTAATACATTGCTAAAAAATGTCATATGCACAGAATAATAGCATTACTTGCCTGCAGTGTGATCCACCTAACGGCTGAATCATTCCCTTTGGAACACTACAACAAGAGTAATTAATAACATCTCCAGTGTTTGCATCCCTTCAAACTTTCTTTTTACAAAGCAAGTTGAATTTTTCATTGAGATTTGATTAACCTGGCCATATTCTTTTGGGAATTGCCACACAWGGTCGGAATACCTCCACACCTACACGCTTGCTGCAAATTAAGTTTTGTGAATGGATGCACTAAAGTCGGATGCCTCATTCTGGATTTTGGCACCTATTGACTGAATTCCCCCTAGCTATCAGCCTAGGATTGCCTGTAGAGGTTGCCAGCAAATATAATTTAGCCATTTTTCACCTGCAACCTCCTTCCATCATCTGTGTCGCGTGCTCTGGGGAAAGGCTCTGCAGGTAGCTCCCCAGAGACTGCAGAGTATCAAACCTCTATCTCGAGCTTGCAAACGGAGCRGGGATCGCCTGGCACAGCTGGCATGTCCAGGCCCTGCACGCAGCTCCCTTGTGCACAGAACAGCAGGGTAACCTCAGAACACCGGGTTAATCTTAATGCTAAAAGCACAGTTAAAACCTAGTTGCATTCTAGAAACAGTAAAAAAAATGCAACAACGCACCATTATGGGAATTTGAATTATATGCAACATARAAATCTGTCCTTATTAGCCTCAGTTTTTTTCTTGAGCAGTAAGACCTGCCAAARTACTAAAAACCTGTAAATACTGTATATAAATCTTCCAGTAGCTTGTGAGGGTAACGTGACAACCAGTCCTGAGAGAAGGGAAAGCCTAATTCCCAAAGTTATCTCCAGTTAAAATAACGTCCACAGCAGTGAGAATGTATTTGGATGATCCTAAATTACTGAACATACAAATTACACTTTAGAGTGAAAAGCACAAATTACACTACTGCAAATTACGCCCGAATTTCAGAGAAGAGCCACATCCTTGCACATCAATATGAGCATGTCCAGGTATGTGTGGTTTATGTCTACAGACCCAAGACCTTTCTCTGAGCTGTGAAACAAAATTTTACTTTAAACGTTTAATTCAGAAGGAAATAGACTATACAGAAATGTCCATCTTACCTTGCCTGACCATTGGTTCACGCAGAAAAAGAACAGCTTTAGCTAAGACTGGTTTCTTGGCATACAGAAACTGGTTAATTTGGCTAAATAACCATCTGAGTATCAGTAATCACAAGATGGGAAGTGCAACCACCGTGTCCCAGCAGGTCCCTGTTCCCAATAACTTGGGCACCAATCTAGTGCCCCAACATCCAGCAACATTCCTGCCCTTAGCTGAGCCTTAGATGGAAGGAAGGACTCATAACCTCCAACTCATGTTCCTTTCAGCTTGTTTCACAATGCAAGCAGGTAGTACTATTCTATGCAGATAGCACAGTCTAATTATCCATAACATATACATTTGCCAAGTCTCCAGATGAAGCATGGATGAATGTTTCCAGCTAATCACTTAATTATGCAAACATAAGTGCTTACAAAGACTTCCACCACAGTTAAATATTCAGCAGCACGCTCCACTATTCCTGTTTATTTCTCCATCTAGAAGCATGAAGTRTTTTATGCTAAAAGCTGGATTCGGAGGGTGGATTAGTGAGACAGACATCAATCGCTTTTGCGTCCAAGTTTACTATAAGCCTGCTGACTCACACATATACAATCTATGTTATGTCACAAATTTCTATAAACCAGGATTAAAACCATTCAGTGAATTAATATGAACTTGGCCTGCAATCCAACTGAATATGATGCATATTATGCCTTTAATGTGTCTCATTTCTATATTTCAAATGCAACTGTTAAYTTTCAGCTGGCCCAGCTCTAGTCCTCCTGTCAAGACAAGGATGAGCTTGAGCAGCTCGCTCACTKCTGAGCCCGAAAGAGAAATTCTGCCCATCTGAGATATGAAACAGAACTCACTAAAAAATACTATCAACAAATTACACCAGGCAAGCAACCCATGTGATTTTGAATTTCGTGTGCTCTAAGATAAGTTAAATTGCTCTATTCTTAGCAGAATCTGCTAAATTAACAGCTGTGCCCGTTTGCTCAGAGAATGTGAGGTCTGTAGAAGTGCAATCGTGGCCCCAGGCTGGCAAGTGATCTTCAGCTGCACTCTACAACCTCGAGAGGAAAACTCCCTGCCATCCACATCAACACAGAGCAAGGAGAATTCAGAAGCAATTTTTACTGCTGGTCAACCAGAAAGCAGGATATCGGTCAGTAAAAACTGCTGTGTTTTTCCATGGCTCCTACCAGCTATCACTAAGGCAATCTACAAATTAAAAAGCTACATTTTCTGAAAACTAAGCAGGTATTCTATAAGGGGAAAAACAAGATCAGAGAAAAACATAATTAATTTTTACAGTGTACCATGACTAATCTTGGCATCTATTCAGGTACTGGAACAGCAATCACTGAGTACGAATGAAAACAGTGTTGAACCCTGTCCTATTTTTATCAGATGAAAGCCACAAACCTAACCATGCTGCTGCTTAATGTTGCATTTTCTCCTATCCTGATAGCTTTCACAGCTGGAGAAACAGCTACTTACAGCACTATTCTGCTGTAAAAAATTATTGCTACTTACAGCTATTTGGATTACAGTTGTGTATGTCATGGAAAAGGAGGTCCAGGGGAGGGAAGCTACAAACATTTCCTTGGGTTGTTCAAGTACTTCCTGGGTGCATCAGTTCCTCTGCTTCCTTTCACAAGTGCAGTTGTGCTTTGAAAATCTTGATCATAACCCAAGTGGTGCTAGTATTAAACTRTATTTGTTTACAAATGGAAACAGTTGTACAAGGTTATGCTGCAAAGCAGTGGTGGAGAAACAGAACTCCAAAGAGCTATTCCACACAACTTCTCATTTACACAGTTCACAGAATTTAAAAAATATATATCTGAAGGCAAAACACAAGTGCAACTGATGTGATGGTATACTTTACCTGAGACAATCTGATCATCCAGCACCATTTTTATTAACCCCATGAAGAGGTCACAAAAGCTGTTCTATACAAACAGCTGCTCCCAGTTCAAAAATTCYCTCACATAATGTTTCCTTTTCCTTCAAAAAAAATCATATTTTTCWGGAACATATACTTACCAATTCAGTCATTAAACTCATTTTTCAGCCAGTTCATGATTTAACATATCACTGAAAAAAGTGCAAAGACCTGCTTTGGATTAATGGTTGGTTTTGGAGGTGTTAGAAAGCTTGTGCACATGTGCTAAGGTGCAAGCTGTCTCCTATCCTTAACTCCTTCTCTTCCCTCAGTTTCCCAGTTGCCATTCTTGGAAACCAAGAGAAAGTTGGAAGGGAGTGGAAACCTTGCTGCTTTACCTGCCTTCTCTCACCAGGAAAGCAGCACTCACACAGGATGCTCTGTGTAAGACAAACTGCTACTACAAAGACGACAGCTTGAATGCCCCAAAGAAAAAAGATAAATTCTTTGAGAACATTTGACCCAAGCTAAGTTAGTAAACTCAATTTTCCTGCTTATTTTCTGACAGAAGAATACTCATTCTTGTCTCTTGCTGAACWTTTTTCACTGATATATTAACAAATACTGCCCGCAAACACTCTTCCAGAGTGTCTTTGCTCAATCCAACAGTAAAGCAGTGAAATTCCCGGCTCCGATCCTGATTAAAAGTACCATTAATTGCCATGAAGAGGCGCTAGCTCTTTCCCCAAGGGAAGAATAAAGACRGGACACACCTTTGGAGTGCTTCCCTGAAGGCCTCTTGGGCAATGACTCCTCAATGGAATGTGTTGACGTGTGTAGTACATTTTCCAAACTGTTACTGACGCTGTTTATGGGGGTCTCAGACCTTGGAGTGACCTGCAAAGAAGAACACAAAAAGCACTATAATACACCAAAATAATGCTAGAATGTTGCACCCTCCTCCAGAGCAGAAAGCACCACACAAATCAGTTGAGACATATATGCTTCTTTAAAAACCAACTGGTGTTGCTATTGATACCGCAGAAGCAACAGCTCAGGGAAACTGTTGTACGTTCGGGTGTCGCTGCTGACTAGATTAGTGAAGATAATCTATAAAGCCACTTAAAGCATAATTATTTTTTAAATAATAGTCACTCGGGAGTCAACCATAGACATGTTGCAAGACAATTAACCTCTCCACACTGTAGTTAACTTTTCAACAACAAAACAAGACAAAAAATCTCTGGAAAAATAACATTTTTATGTTATGCCATCTACTTATACAGATGCAAACTGAAGGCACTGAAAAGTACTTCCACACAGATAGCACGGAATGAATTYTAATATAGCGAAAAAGCTATCTTGTTGTTTTTGCCATTTGCAAGCCTGCTATCAAGATCAGATTTCAACAAAAAATTACACACTGAAAACTGCCCAAACAGTAGGCTGCACCAYCAAAACAGATTTCATGGCCTAATATGTACCTTCTAAACTGCACTTAGCATAACAAAATACTTTCACCATTACTTAAAGCTACAGAAAGGAACATAAATCACAAGAAGAGGCAGCAGAGGACATTGCCTGCCTTAGCTGCTGTCCACGAGGCCATTCACAATTATGCGGCGACACAAAAACATCCATTGCTTGTAGTATAACATTCCACGCCTGCCTCCTAAGCAAGGCAATTACTCTCTTGTTTTCTAGGTAATGAGGAGCAGAAGTGGATGAACAGCCACATTAGCAGTACAAACACAAGGGTTTAAGTATCTGAAAGAGGAAAATGCCTTTTAAAGAGGTAGTTAAGACCAACAAAAGTGCTCACGCTAACTAATGCATTGCTTGAATTTCAATTGCGGCATTTGGAATTAACTGAAATCTCAGGATGTAGAGCTGTAACTAATAATTTAACAAGGACTTCAGCCTTTCGCAAGTCTCCCGAGGAAAATATGAGCTTGACACAACAAAAGCAGCTCTCCTTTGCTCATGGTAACTAATGTGGGAGACTAGAGTTTCCCACCGGCTCATTCAGACCCGTTGCTTGAGACAGGGCCTGGAGGTAGAAGGACCACTTAACACAATACTTGGCTCACCCACCCATCAGCCTTACCTATTGATATCAAGCAACACAATGCCSGTTAAAAATAGCAACTTCCTATACAATTACCTATTGTAAGCTTCATTTTACAACTGACTTACATTCATACACATGTAGCTAAAGGCAGYGGCACAAGTGCTAGGATTACAAATACCTGCTAACCTCTTCAGCACCGCTGGCCTATTTCTGGAATAAAGTAGTTTATTTGTATAGATCTTCCCTAGCAGAGTAGTTTGCCAACAATAAGAACAATTTCTTATCAAGCTTTTGTATAAAAGTCCACCAATTAAACTTTAAGCTTGCAGGGGAGGGTGGAGGTAGGGATTAGATCTTCCTGCCAAAGTCAGGCTCCACCAAATAGCTTCCTTACTGCACCTGGGCTTTCCTGCAGCTCAACAAACTCCTGCTCCGGCGCATTGCTGCCGAGGGGAAGCTCCAGGGGACTCTGCAATGACACCACCATCCTGCTGGCGAGGGAAGGCCTCCAAACTAAGTAACAGAGAATGAAAATTAGATGGAGGCAAGACTGTGCAACTTAAACAGGCCGGTTCTGAGTATCTGGAGCAATCTGCAAGCATAAAACACTTGCAGTAATGCTTGAAACTGAGCCTTGAAGGCTAGAGCCCCACAGCTGCAGAAATTCCCTAAGTGGCAGGCAATATATTGTAACAGAAACTGCTTATCTTTATATTCCCTTCTCTCCTCCCACCCCGCTGCCCTTCCAGTAAACATTGCGTGCAACTTCCAACTTGCATTGTGTTTATCCATAGCCTCCAATTGTTTCCACAAAGATTTGATTTTGATGGATTTGGTAGAGATTAATTTAGCCCATATGTCGTGAAGGGCTGAACTCATACTCTATCTGATTCCGCCTCACATCAAAGCRGAGCAGCTTCAGTTTGGCTTTGAAATATCACAACATGCTGATTAGTTCCAAACGGAGACCGTCTTTAGAGAGCTCCACGGTGTTAGAACCAATCTGTTTGCCTGGAATTTTTGTTCCAGATTTTAAATAACTTTTTCCAGTGACTTAAACATACCAAGAGTGAAAAGGCTTGGATTTGTTTAAGAAATAAATGAAATATATTTGCAAAACATCTTTCATCATAAAATTATTTCCAAATACATAACAGGCACTTTTTAAATCTGAGGCTAAGTGAGGCACCCAGGAACAATATCACCAACTATGAACTGCAGAAATTCCTGTCCTAGGAAGGTTAGGAGAAACATGGACAAAAGCTTGAGATGCTCAGGAAGGACTTCACTGAACAGGCTGTGGATAATTCCACTTCCAGTTAACTACAAAGGAATGGGGCTCACCATATCCAAACAGCAACATCACCCCCAGCTGAGAGCCAGGGCAAGCTAAAAAGACAGCACAAATTGGAAGATTTCCAAGAACATGGACTGTCCTAAACATCCATAAGGTTCTTTGAGGTACCATTAAGATCTGCTGTCAAGACGAGCTGAATCACTAGCCTCTAAATAAGCAGGGCATTCCAGGGAGCTTCACCTCCTCAGAAGCAGCAACCAAATTGCTTTGGACCTTTTAGGATCTATAACRTCTCTGACAAAAGCCAGGAGGCCATTAAAGATTAAGAATCTGCTGTTCAAGAGCTGTTTTAAACTGTGTTCTCTCAAGTGGCAAGAGCTTCAGCTGAAGGTGGATGTGACGCACGATGAAATATTCAGGTTCTGCTCCATACCAAAACCCAGGCCTCCCATCCTATAAATGCAGACAAAGCCTGCAATCGACTCAAGGTTGAAGTGGTTATGAAATTTGAACACWAGACTTCAGATTTCCTATGAAATTTTCTTTTGTATAACTATAACTAGCAGTTACTTAAACCACTCCGGGAATTAAAACTAGCCCATAAAGACTAATCAACTAAAACAGCAACTGTAAAGAGACAARGCAACAGAAAGCTTCTTCACTACTCCTATTCCTACCTTCAGCATTGCATTTTGCAGTGGGAGAAGGAATCCTGTGCCCATCCCTAGCTTCACTATTCATAAGTTCTCATCCGAGTGGCCTGTAGGCTTATTCCATGACTCTAAGATTCAATACTCAGAATAAACTGGGACAGAAGAGATTGTTACACCACTTTTACCTTAGTGCTGTGTCCAGTTCCCCCACAGCAAAGCATCCGGCTCACTAAAATTTCTGATTTTCCAGGCAAAAAGCTGGCTYGTCTCCTCAATTTCTAGGTAAAGTAGCAGCCATTTTTATATTGAAAATTGCAATGACTGGTCTGAAGTTCTTACTCATGCAGGGATGGCTGAAGCAAATATGGGAAGTGGTCAGTCTACAGAGCCAGATTCAGGAACTGTTGACTATGCTTCCCCAGGGACAACATCTAACAGTTCATCTGCTGCATTCGAGTCTTTCGTGAGAATAATGAGATTCATAAAGTCAAATGTAAGAATTTTACTAAAACAGCAATTATGTGTTCCTTTTAAGAACAACTAACCAGAACACAGAAAATGGGTGGTTTAATAGCAAAGTATTTGCTGACTTGGTTTGAAATTGAGCCAATATTAACAAATCAACACAGCCTGCTAATATGCAACATGACTTATAATTTAAGAAAACATCACATATAGGATCTGGGGGAAAAGTCTGATCTCAAAATATTTCAACTGAAATGAAATACTGGGTACAGAATCAGGTCATGCATTATACAGAAAAGAAGTGAGTAAAATATAAAAGCCAAGAAAGCCATTTAAGTACTATGGCAGCAGCTAGGAGTCAAAGACAGGAACACATTTTCCAACTGATTCATGAAAAAATGGTGTTCAGATTTCCAAAGTGGCCAATGCAACAGGAAAGCCCTACAGAGAAGGGCTCCTGCTAACACTTGCCTTGGAAGTCTCTTTTCAGAATGGCTTTACATAGTCATATACAGAGCCCCACTTAAGGCTAATACAGGTAACTTAACAGGGCAGCACCCAGGAATAAAAGTACTAAAATCTGGAAAAAAAATCATTTCCATTCAATTCTGTCAGTTCCATATTATCATAGTAGCTTATTTTGAGATTAACATCAAAGTTTTGAACACAGACAATGCTTCTTGCAAAACACTGCAGCATAAACTAAGRGTGAGGCTACAGTCCTGCAGTTTTAGATGGGTAAGATACCACTTCCCAAGATGTAGGTGGCTTGGGCTCCCAAATCCTTAAAAACAATCCGGCTTGCTTGTCACTGATGTCCAAGGCTGCTCAGTAGGCCAAGCCTGGGTGAGAAAGGAGAGCAAGTGGTGCAAGGATCCGATACTCCAAAGCTAGAGAGATTCAGAGCCTGGAGGAACAAGATCTTCCTCTCAGCAGCAAGTCATTAGATCCACCCAGCCGCTTGTGAAACCGCAGCCTCGGGCACCAGCTCTGCTCTCACACATGCAAGTACCTGACTGCTCTCCTAGGAGAATTAAAGTCAGCAGGACTCCTCCTTTTGCAGACTGGCGGCCTTACTGGTCTTCCAAATGGAGGTTTAAGGAATGCTGATAAACACACTCAACTTTTCACATGCTTAAGTCAACAACAGCACTCAATGCTTGAATTTCCACATTTTACATATTTAATTGTTTTGTTGCGGCAGGACCTACATGGTGCTTGCTGCTTGACATTGCTTGTCCTAGAAATCTTCAGTTCCAGCAGTCAACTTCTATCAAAAAGTGACAAGCACCAGGTGCAATCAAGTTACGGGTGCTCCTATTTCTCAAYAGCTACAAACCAGCTACTGTTCTGGTAGGAAGTTGGGGAAAAAGAAAGGATCCATCTTTGCATACAAAAGGGTGAGGAGGCA